TGTTCTGACGGGGAGGTAGAACATACTAAGTGGAGAAACGCTGAATTCGTGGACTGTGGCGGATGAGGGCCAGCGTTTGCGGCGTGTTGTGTGAAGGGTAGGATTGTCCGCGAACCCGGCGAGAGGTTTGGCGCCTACGCCGATGGGACCGAGACCGAGAATTTCTTCTTCTTTGCCGTCGGGTGGTGGTGGGAAGGCTGTGGCGGCGAATTCGTGTCTGTCTCCAGATAGAACAACGACACCGATTCCGGCTTTTGATGACCCGACGTCCCACATTGCTTCGAGGATGATCTGGCGTTCGCCGAGATATCCTCGCCACGTGTCTTGTGCTCCGAACCACCAGTTTTTAGTGAAGGGGACAGAGCTGACCAAAATTTTCCACTTTACGCCTTGGGGTTCGGGACGCTGGAGCCAGGACAGGACGTCTGAGAGTTGTTGGGCTCCAAGCATGGTTTTGGTAGGATGGCCTGTGATGGGATCTGAGCCGTTGGTGTTGTCGTTTGGAGAGCGGTAGCGGCGAGTATCGAGCATAAAGAACGTGGCTGGACCTTGTGTGAAGGTGAAGTATGTTTCGCCTTTACGTACCGCCGGAGGGTTGGCAGATATGTGGTAATGCTCGTAAGGGTCGTTGGCGGCTGGGAAGACTGAAGTGGTGTTTCCGGACCAGTCATTTTGGATCTCGTGGTCGTCGTATACGTGAATCCAAGGCAGTTCTTTGGTTGCATCTGGCCAGTCTGGAGACGCATATACCTGGCGGTAATTCCGTCGGTAGTCTTCCAGTGATCTGCCCTGCCCGCCCGGTACATCGATATAGATGAAATCTCCAAGGAAGAGCATGAAATGTGCTTTCAGACCTTTCAGCGCTTCCGACAAGTGGCGTAGCCCCGGTGCTGAAAGAGGATGTCTCAGTGGATTGTACGGGAAATTGAGTTTGATGCATGATGAGTGTACAAAGGTGAATGTGTTGTGATTCTCGGCTCTGGTAGACAGCTGTCCTGTTCGTGGCGCTGTCGTGAAAAAGCCAGTCTGGTTGTTAACCGTCCATTGGTATCTCGTATCTGGCTTGAGTCCTGTGATCTCGAACGTGCCTGTGAAGTCTGTTCGCTCATCGACCCATTCGACTTCACCAGCTGCTTTCCACGCCGTGTCTTGCGCAACGCCTCTGGACAACGGTGCGTCGGCGAAGCGATAAGAAGCGTAGACAGGCAAGCGAGCCACTTCTGGTTCTCTGAACACGATATTGGCAGTCCGATCCGAGACGTACCCGACTCTGGCCATGGACAAGTCATGAGAAGGATACAAGTATGTTCCTCTGTTGACCAGGTCAAATGACATCAAGACTAGGGTAGCATTCAGGAGGATAGCCACGATACTCCATAGGTTGTTTGTAGGGCTCGGCAGGCCTATTGTCAATGTCCTAATTATCCTCGGATCTCTTTCAACCAGATCTATCTCCTCTTCAACCACCAGCTCTTTGCCAGGACCTGCGTTGCCATTGGCGTATCTTGTATCCACATCAAGCACATCTCCAGGGACAGCGTCTCGAGTCTCAACGTGGAGGATGTCTGCTACGACTTTGAAAGGAGCGGTATTGACCAGGGTATACCAGAAGCTCGGCAAGTAGATCGCGAAGAGGGAGTAGATGATGGGAGGAAAGTGCTATTCATGGTTAGATGGGTCGTATCGGGAACCGCGGTCACAGTCAAGACTAACATGTCCAGGTATCTGGAGAAGCAAAAGTCAGCAGGTGAAGTGGTATAGCGACCCCGGCGCAAATAAAAGCTTTTGTTTACCCAGCGAAGGAAGATGAAAGCGGAAGCTCGCAGCAGGATTGAGCTGATTGCCGTGGTATACCAGGCGACATTATAGACGCCATCTGAAGACATCGTTACCGCATAGTCGAGACGAAGTGAGTGAGCTTGAGGGAAGACCACGTCTTTCTGATCGAGTGCCCATTCTGCGAATCCTGATTCGTTGCCATGAGCATGACGGCATCATGAAGGCATACCTACTTCTACCATACCACTCATCAACACAACATCTCATCCCATCAAAGCAGCCCTAACAGTATATCGCCATCGTTCTCGGGGTCGTTCCAAAAGGCAAGCCCTACCAAGCCATCGCGGAGAGTTGTACGACACGACCGGCTGAACAATGTCTCCGAGGACCCAAGAATCATTCCTATCATATCATATAAAATCCCTCCGAAACAAACCAACAAGGTCAAGTACCTACTGTACACACCCATTCCATCTCATATATCAAACTCCCACTATGTCCTCATCCCCCCCTTGGCCCCCCGAAACCTCCACCTGGAAAACCTACCCTCTCCACTGCCACTGCGGCACAATCCGCCTGACCATGAAAATCTCACCACCACTCTTCCCATCCTCCTCCTCCTCCTCTTCCGAGCCAAACAACCAAGACGTATACCCCGTAGGAGAATGCAATTGCTCCTTTTGCGAAAGAAACGGCTACTTAAGCGTCCACCCAAGAGCTTCAAACGTCGAAATCACTCGGGGAGAGGAAGCGATAACGAAGTATAAATTTGGAGCGAAACAAAATCCGCATTGGTTTTGCAAAAATTGTGGGAGTGTGATTGCGACGGATTTAAAGGTTTTGTGTGAGGGGTTGGGGATTGAGAGGAGGTATGTATATATACACAGAATTTGGTTTTTTTTTAAATTGTTGGTGAGTTTGATTTTGGGAGAGGGGAAAGCTGATGAGCGGTTGATTTTTCAGGTATACGATTAATGTTCGAATGCTCAAGGATTTTGATGCGAAGAAGTTGAAGATACAGAAAGTGGAGTTTATGAAGGATCAGCCGCCGAAGTATGAGATCGACTGAGACGAGAGGCAACGGCAGTGAATCAGAAACAGCAATGGAGCATCAAAGGAGTCTTTCGTCATTATCATCATCGCTGTGGTTCTCATCTCTATGCTATGTTGCGAACCGTAAACCGAAGTCTGTCGCTATGCAAAATGCTTACGAGTCTTGCAACTCTTTGTCTACAGCTTCGAAGCCATTCAAGAAACCCAGAAACATGATCACGCCAAAGCCTGGGTCAAGTGCACCAGTAGTGGCTCTGATGGAGTGCATACTCAGTTGTGCCAGACCGGCGTCAATAGCTCGCACGCCAAGCGCCGACGAAAGCATAGGCCCGACTGTGCCTCCAGACCGGGAGTCGTTCCTGATCTGGAAGACCTGTAGCTGTGCTCCGACCTTATCGGCACATCGTTTCAGGATGGTGGTCGATATAGAGTCGGTCGTCATGTGTCCATTGGAGTCTGCTGCTATCGCAACACCGACATTGAGGTGAGGGGCATGGTTCTCAAGGTAGACGCCTAGGAAGTTGGGGTTCACAGCGTGCGTCACGTCTGATGAGACCATGAATGAGTTAGCCATGGTCCTTCCCATCAGGTCTGAGTCTGGCTTGTGTCCAGCCAAAGATCCCACAGCACGCTCCAGTGTGATAGGGAGGAAGTTGCCCTTTGCACCTTGTCGAAGCAGAGATCCAATTTCTTCATCATCGAAGAGACCGACAACCTTGATGATGGAGCTGCTATTGGTGTCACTTTGGGCTTCGATCAATGCTTGAAGTGCAGCCCATGAGCAGAGTTTGTCATCGATTCGTCCAGCAGAGATGAATTCCTTGTTCAGACCCGCAAGAGTGGCCGGCTGGACATCAAACAACTCAAGCTCCCAATTCACGATGTTCGCGTAGCTGCTGGTGTTCAAGCCGAGAGCCTTGGCGATAGCGCTGACAAGAGCCGGCGGCTGAGTGCTGATGAAGCTACCCACCGAACCGTCAGCACGGCCAAGAAGCGAGGGCTGGCTGAACGGCTCGACATGCGGCTCCACCATCTTGCTTTGCGAATCGCTGCTGTCAAGGCCTATGACTGGCACCATCTGGGTTTCCTTGTTGAATGGTCCTTGTGCAGGCGCGCCGAAGTGCTCTGCCAGGCTTGGGATCTTGGCGATGGGCCAGTCCAGCTTGACAAGCTTAGTGACGATCTTACTACCCTCCTTGATGTGTACACGACCACCAATTCCCAGATCGCGGTCCCACCAAGTCTTACCGAGGCCGCCTGCATATGGAGCAACACCGAGCTGGAGGAATCCTGCCTTGTTCGGGACTTGCGACACTGGCTTCAGCTTTGCCGTCAAAGCATCGACATGACCAGCAAGAATGGCAGTACCATTTCCTGGCTCGTAGTTTGCACCGACGACGAATGCGATGAGCGACGAGCCATTGCGATCGACGAAGTACTTGCCCGAAGGCTGGATATCCCACGAGTTTCTCTCGCTGAGCTGTGTGAATCCTTGCTCTTTCAGGTCGTTCTTCAGTGCATCGACTGCGTGGAAGACAGTAGGATTATTAGTCATGAAATCGCAGAACGGCTTGGTGTACTTCGCGGCATTCTCGCGCGTTGCCTGTGGGAACCGCGTCTGCTTCTCTTTTTCGGCCAAGAGCAGGTCGCTGATTTCGCCTGTTACAGCAGCCATTTGAGCATCTGACATGCGTTCGTCATCTCCTGCAAGGTGGACGTTGCAACCAAGACAGTCTTTCATTTGTTCCGAAAGCTTCTTGTCGGACATGACGAGTCGCGAATTTGTTGAGCCCAGCTCCGATGGTATCTGTTCAGGCAAGATACTGCCAGCCTGTTGCCTGTTGAAGTTCGAGAGCATCGATCGCAGCTGAGCAGTGCTCATCGGCTGTGCGTTGCTCGTCGCACCTGCTCCGAGATTCTTCGCCTCTTCTGGCTCAACGCTCAGAGGAGCTGGCTCCCAAGACATGCCACTTGGCTGTGACCGCCTCTTGCTTTGCTCAAGTCCACTTGAGGCCATTGCTCTCTGGCCTTGTTGCTGCTCCAGCCTTGCACAGACAGGGCACGGGTAGCCTCGAAGAAGCCATACCGTCCGATCTGCTGCTGCACATTCCGTACATCTTTGAGGTATGCCTTTTGGCTTCGAGTCGAGCGTTTGTGTTGCTGGAGCTGTTGCAGATGCCTTCGAGCTCGAGATGTTGAGGTCGGCCATGCTTTCGCGGAGGCACTGCCGCGAAGCTACGTTGCGGACCATGATGGACGAGAATGGAGCAAAACAGACCAAGATAACACCAATATATACGCGCCTGCAGAGGGTGTGGAGAAGGGTGAGTTGGCTTATCTCTAACTGATCTGGTGATATGTTGTTGCTGGCCGTGCCTGAAACATATTGACATGGGGCGACTCGAAGCTCCAGCCTCCCGCGGCGGCTGACGTTTCTTGGCATTCATGCCTTCTATGGCTGCTATCTCGTGCATTACCATTACATCCATTACAACATTTCTTCTCCAACGAACTCGCCAGCATACGTGACATCGCTAGGCTCATTCATTCTCGCCCAGAGTGACCTCATCTCATCACGCTCTACAAGATTGTTCTTCCCAGCTGCTGCTATCTGCGCCACCGAGTTCTCACGCTCAATCTGCACTGTGGGATTGTTAGCAACATGGTCCTGCTGAGATGCATGCTGGCCTGACTCACCATGAAGGAAGACAGCTGTGCGCTTGCCGGTGAAGAAGGCATGCGGCACATTGGTCACGTTGTCTGAGTTTGCATCTCCAATCGCGAAGATGCCCGGCACATTCGTCGCCAGTCCTTTGGCGTTATCTGCTGCGAGCTTTTCGCCATAGAGCTGGACGCCGGCATTCTGTCCGACTTTCGACTTCTGTTCAGATGGGAAGTCTGCGAAGAATGCATTTCGCAAAGTGGTGCCACCATCAGCGAACTTAACCTGGAACAGATCATGCTCGGGGTGAGTTGGCAGGCTCGGGTCCGCGAAAGGCGATGCTCCATCTTTCAGACGCGTGATCGATGCCAGCGTTCGGTTCTCGATCTTGACGTTCTGCAGCTTCAAATAGGTCTCCCAACCTGGAAACTTGGTCTCTGTGATGTTTCGGTTCTCTGGCGTGTCCGTTCCATTGACGAAGAGGATAATGTCGGTGTTCAAGGTCAGAATCTCGCGGACGCTGGTGACTGCACTGTCGAGACGAGCGAGAATACCGAGCGCTTGATCAGCGTGTTCGTGTCCATCACACCAAGGACACCAATATATGCCCTTGCCCCAGCATTCCGCAATCCCTGGAGTGGAGGGCAGAATGTCTTTCATCCCTGTTCCGATAACGACCTTGCGAGCCGTCAAGGATGCAGACTTGTCTCCAGGATAGTCGACCAGAACTTTGAAGAAAGTGTTGTTGTTCTGTGGTTGGACTGCAGTCACCGTTCCATTAACAAGTGAGACAGTGCCATAATCTCCAATCTGCTGTCTGGCAGCGAAGCGGAGCCATGCTGGAGTCACGCCATCGAAGCCGATAATGTCATGAGCGTGTCGAGTTGGGTCGTTTCGGTATTCGCCTGAGTCGATCATCAAGACATTTCGTCGTACTCTTGCCAAGCCGCTTGTTGCTGCCAGGCCAGCTGGACCACCGCCGATGACTATAGCATCGTAGTCTGCCTGAATTGCTGGTGCAAGCAGTGGTGCTGCATTGACAGTGGCAATAATGAGCAAGCAAAGGCGAAATATCATCTGAAACACCATCTTGTAATGATGCTCTGCGGAGCCTCGAGAGCTGGCTGGTGCAGGAAGGATGAATTGATCTGGCGGTCTGCGTTCAAATACTTATGCCTTCTCTTAACAAATCGTTGAAACCAATGGAGGTAACAGGTACGTCAGGGCACATTGGTGTGCAGTTGCAATGCATGAGTTGTTGGCAGTAACTTTATAGGGATGTTGCAGAGGTCGTGCATTGATACTAATAAATCCAGTGGGATCTGCATGGAACCACCAGCCGTCACACTTTAAAAAAGCACAGCCCACCTCTCCACAGCTCTGAAACCCAATCGCTCAAAGCCTTCAACGCACTCACGACATCGTTGTTGTGGTTCTCCGGTCATGCAACTTCTGGTTGTCATGTTGCACACGACCACAGTTTCGGAAATGCTTGGCGATGTTGCTTGGGCGACTGATCACAGCATATGAGAGCGAGATGCAAGAGATGATCCACCAAGTCAGCTGAAAAGCGTGGACCCCACGTCCATGCCAACATTCATTTTGAACTTAACACCTCAACCCGAACAATGGCACCACCGCAAATTCTACACACCATCCGTACTCAAAGCCACCTCCCTCACAGCCTCCCAATCATGCCCCAACTTCTTCACCTTCTCCTCAAACCTCTTATAACAATCCGGACCAAGCGGCAACCTCTGCACTTTCCCCTTCAAACCCCCCGCCTCACCAGTCCCAGCCGCAACCTGCACAATCGCTTCTGCGCCTTTGATAGGATCACCCGGCTGCTTTCCATGAACATCCCGGAAGCGATCGATCACATTTTTCGCGGCCGGGTATGCATCCAAAGTCTCCATGCTGTTGGTGACGAAGGCTCCTAAGAAGTTTGTGCGGAAAGCTCCGGGCTCGACGATCAGGACGTGGATGTTGTAGTCTGCGACTTCGCGCGCAAGGCACTCGGACAGGCCTTCGAGACCGAATTTTGAGGCGGCGTAGAGGGAGCAGGAAGGTAGACCGTCGATGCCGGCGATGGATGTGATGTTCACGATCGTGCCGGACTTGCGGGCGCGGAAGCTGGGGAGGGCGGCTCGAATGAGACGGAGGGGACCATAGAGATTGACCTCCATCTGAGAGCGCGCTTCCTCGTCGCTGAAACGAAATAAAATGTCAGTGCAGGCTGAAGACTTGCGCATGTAGATAGAATATATCGACACTCACGTAAAGTCTTCAAGAGCACCCAAATAAGACATGCCCGCATTATTGCAGAGGATGTCAATGTGGCCATAGATCTGCTCTGCCTCTTGCCAGACCTTGGTACACGCTTCTGCTTGCGTAACATCGAGTTCCAAAATCTTGCCGCCTGCACTCTCGATTCTCTGAACATTCTCTGCCGCACGCTTTCGGTTACGGACTGTTCCAACGACCTTGTGTCCAGCTTTCAGCGCTGCAATGGCGATTTCCGCGCCGAAGCCAGCAGATACACCAGTGATGAAGAAACTCTGGGAGGACATTTTTGTTTCAATGGACTCTTCAGGAGTGTTATTGTGATCCAATTTGTTGTTGAGTTTGCTCTGGTTGTTCATATGGAGGTATGTACGTTTTTTAATATCTCCCAACTTGGTCGGGAATACGTTCCATCTTAGTCGGCCTTAGCACTAAGTCCGATGCATATGCTCTTGTTCCCGCTGCTGTTCCTCTGAGGAAGTCACGATCTCGTGAGAGCGTCAGCCATGTACAGGGTGTCTTCTTGATTACTTCCCCGAGCCCTAGCTGGCAACCGAGCCCCAATATTCCTAGGAATTTGACTTAGCTTTAGATAAGCGAGGCGAGCTTGCGAGCAAAGTGAGTACTCGGAGTAGCGAGCTACGAGCGTCAGCTACGACGTACGATACCCGAGCGCGTAAGGCAGTACCCCTTAGAAATGTAGTATCTTTCTTTTCCTTAATAAACGAGCCTAAGGCGAGAGAGGCGAGAGTGTCGTACAGACTCGTATTCATTCAGTATCGCTTAGGAATTGATAGGTAGCTAGGGCTCGGGGAAGTAACCAAGAGGGTGTCTTAGGCATTCGTGGAGCCGGTCGGGGGCCAAGGACCGTGCTAAGGTCTCCTAATCGTTTCAACGTGTTTGTGGACGGACTTGCGCGAAGATTACAGTACATCAAATCTGCCTTCAACGAGTGGGTGGAAAGTAAGCGCTACGGAGCGGACACCCTGTAGGCGAAGAAGTCCTGCCAAGTTCTTGGCAAATAGAGGGTGGGAGAAAGCACATGCCTGTAGAATATCTCCTGGCATACGACAGTGGGTAACTGTTGAAGATATGCTGTTGTCAGCAGTGATCTGTGAATGCATAGGACACCCCTGTATGCGGCTTCAACCATAAGCTGTTGCAGAGCTGTACGATCCATGAAACTCGCAGTCGTATATATGCATCCTTCATGCTGATGCAATTTGGAAGCCGAATCTGGGCATTACTGGTCCGAGCGCCGAAGCGAGGCTGAGGGCTGAAAATCCAGAGGCATTACGCATACACTGCAAGGCACGACGCGTTCACAGTCAATATTTGATACCGCTTTCGTGTTGCAAGTACACTGACAATGTGGTCTGTCCGAGGCTTTTGGGAGACACACGCGACCGGAGGACGTCCTGAAGGAGTAAGGCATCATGTCGGGAATTAAGTAAGCGTGTGAGCATAGGATCATATTGCCCATTCCCTCGGGTCGTCCGCGGCGGTGATAAATGGCTCCTCGATTTGCTTCACAGCCACCTCGCTGCAGAGCACACTGGTCGCAGTGTCAGCAGGATGAGGATACGAGAACACGAAGAATACTCACCATGCACCAGCAACGAGACCATCCAATTCTTTCACCATTCCTTCCCTCCTCTTACCCATCGAAACACCGCGCCCTACCTCTCTTTGCAGCTCACGGATCCTCTTGCCTTTGCCCATTCCGGCCATGTTCATGACCATCTCCCCAAGACAATCTGCATGGAAGGCGTGCTGGCATGGAAAGACGAAAAACTGTCGCATGAGTAGAGGCAGTCGACACTTCCAGCATCGCTCTCCGGGCTCCACGATTGCGTATCTCTGGTCCAGAGCTTTGATGTCGTCTTTGATGTGTTGGCTCGTTTTGGCACTCTCGTCCATCTCGCGTTTCAGCTCATCGATCTGTCTTGAGTAATCCTCCAAAGCTGCACATATCTCTTCCTTGAAATCGTCAATAATGACGAAGTCCGGGAAGAAGGGTATGAGATCTTCGATTCTGAGATGAGGTTCGCATCGCTTGAGGAACTCGATCGCGGCCTTAATGCTCTTCTCACGTCCGATGACCTTCTTCGCAACCTTGAGCCACAATTTCTTTTTCAAGACATCATCATTCCCCGGGCGATCTGCAACATCGGCGGCAAGCTCAACCTCATCATACTTGAGCGCCAAGTCGATAGCAGATGCATACTGGCCCATGGTACCGTAGACGTGCACAGCGGACTGGACTCGCTTGTGCGCAATGCAGAGCCGAAGAGCAAAGTCGGCATCGTAGTACTGCTCGTGGTTTTGCGATTGTGTTTGTAGATACTGGAGAAGCTGGGTCTCCTCTTTCGTCGGATGTGCTGCGTACATGGAGATGAGAGTGTTGTGCACTGCAGGCTCAGTGGAATGGAAGTGGTTGATGCAAAATTGCAAATACCTGATGGCTTGGTTGCTGTGAATCGGGACGACTTCACCCAAAGTCTTGTTGTAGTTCAGAAGTGCCGGAATGATCTTCTTGGTATCCAGGCCGGTCTGTCGCATGAGAACCTCGATGAGCTCCGTCGCTATTGTCGACTGCGACATAAGTACAGTGCTGTAGCGATAAAACATTTCGGGGTCAGTCTGCTTCTTGAGTACCGTGATCGCTTCCTGCCATCTTTCACGATTAACCCAGTATGACAGGACGTAATCTGCATCTTCTATCGCGTTGGCGAAGTAGAGCAGTTCTTCCTCTCTACCATGTGCACTGATGATCTCGTACGTAGCCCTCCGGTCCAGATCTGATTTGTATTTGGCGACAAAGTCCTGGAATTCTTTTCTTACAGCAGGTAGCTGTTTCTGGGTCTCGGTGGCTGTGTCATTTTTCGACAGCTCCGCTCGACTGGAAATGGTGTCATCGAGCTGATTGAGCTTGGCCATGTACAGCTCAATCATCCATGAGGCTAGCATGATGCGCTGCATCTGAGCACTCTTCTTGAGTGTTGACAGCTTGACTGTGAGATACTTGCGTAGTGCGTCATGCTCTCCCTTGTCAATGAAGCTCAATGCTACATCCTCAAAGGCTTTCGTGCTCTTGCCGAGAATGATTGCAGCTTCGATGAATTTACCTTGAGATATCAGATGGTCGCCAGTCATTGCCGCAACAGCGTCCTTTTGCTCTGCAGTCTTGGCGTATCTTTGCGCTGCTTCATATCGCCCTGCCTTAAGCATGATTTTCCACACATTCCTCGCTTCGTCGGTCACCACAATCTCAAAGATCTCCTGTGGGGTGAAGAGCCAATATGTGTTCTTCACGTGGTCTGTGAACAGCCCAAGGCTCGCCTGACCGGACTCCAGTATCTGCTCGTTATAGACGATAGTGTCATCCAAGCGATTGATACTGGTAAGGCGTCCTTCAACAAGAGCAACCATGTGGAATTGTGTCAATAGCAAGGATGATATCGGAGGCTGCGTCGCTCTGTTTCGACCACTTGCTGCCTGAACAGGCGGCAGCTTAGACTGCGGAAAAGTCTTGGACTCTCTGAACACCTGTTTCCCCAGCGTGGCAAGATCGGCGCTTGAGGTGAGCAAGGTCCCATGGAAGATGTTCTGCGAGTTCAGCCATGCGAATGCACGTTCTACATCTTCGGCCGGTGCATCAAGAACGTCTGGACTGGTCACCAAGGTCGCACCAGATGTCGCAGTCACCCTCTCGAGCTCATGCACATTCGGTGCCTCACCCTCGAATATTTTGGCATATACCTCATTGCCATGATGTCTGCCGCCCATTCTACCAACGAAATGCCAAAGTTTGTGCTGTGTTGCAACCACGACTCTTCGTGTCTCCGGCTTGCTTGACACAATATCTGCACATATTCCCGATACTGCCCCATCATTGCCATTCCAAACATTCCTCAAGTACTTTTCCGTGCTACGATAAAACTCGGTGGTAGGCTCGATGGCCATTTCGTAGACATTCCCATCGCTGCTTCCAAGCAGAATCTCGCGAGTGCTAGCAGTCGGCCTTGCTGGATTCCAGGCCACACATTCCACCACTACGCCTCGTAGTCTTCCAAGCTGTTTTGGTGTGCGCGATTGCATGTGCAGGTAGAAGCTCTCCCCTCCCGTCGTACTGATAATCAGATGACTTGCGCTGGGATCTAAGAACAGCCTTCTGATTACGCCTACTTCCGCTGGCCGCTTGGGGAGGTCGATGTCGTCGATGTCCTCCGCGTTATCAAGATCGAATCGCAGAATACGCCCGGTGCTGAGTGCCAGGACGAGCACATTGTTCGCGACTGCTGCAGCTACGAAGTCGGCCGAAATGTCGAAGCGCATCTGTACTTTCTGCACGTCGAATATTGGGAGCGCGGAATCATCGTTGCCGCCTGCGGCAAAGCCGCTGAAGTCGGTCATGTTCGAGCTGTTATCGGGGTATCATTGTCTGAAGAGGTGGTGGTGTATTCTGCTTGTCGATGTTTACTGCCTGCGAGGTGCATAGCTACCAGGAAGCCAGATCCATTGGCTCGGAAGTCATCGACGCTAGTGGACTGTTGGCTTGGCGTCATGAGTGACGAACAGCGGGGAAGTCAGCGCTACATCCTATCCACCATATTGAACATATCGACATGAAATGGGAAACAACTTTCTTACTGCAGAATGGCGGCGCCAAAATCATGCAGTCGTCAATACATTCAGCATCCGACCCAGGTCATCCCAAGTCATCTAGTCGCGCCGCTGCCTCGATAACCCCAGGGAGCGAACATTTCACCACGAGCAAGACCTGGTCGCTACGACCGGTAGAACAGATGAGACTTGCCGCTACGTAACTGACAAGGCTGCGAATTTCTACCAAGTTGCACGTCGAAAGCTGGTCTTGTAGAGCTCAACTGCTTGTCAAGCGTTCCCTCAAGATTGGGTGATTGAAGGAGAACCCCTTTCAAGGTGCATAGTACGGCCTTAGACCAATATCGCCCAACGATGTGCGCCCGTCCTGATCATCTTTTATCTTGAGCTCTCGTGTGTCGGTATGCGAGTGGCATCGCCAGTACTGGAAAGACGAACATGAGCCCATGGAATGGCTAGTCCGGCGATGCCTGAAATTTTCTAGCCATCATTTTGGTCAGCAATCGATGGCTGTCGACATTCGAAGGTTTGAGTAGAGAGAGACCGAGTTTGTTGCTACCAGCGCCTGTCAAAGAAGAAGAGATATTCGTTGCGTTCATTTCGGAAGAAAGCCCTCTCCAGTCACCGTGAAACTAATCTCTAATGAAGCAGATTTTGCTTTTCGAAGTGCTGGCATATATCTTATAGGCTGACGCGATAGAAGATCAAGCGCACTCCTACAGAAAGAAATTGGATCTTGCCGAAACGCTTTACTCGGCTCTCGACATCGCTGGTCTCTGGTTCAAAACAGTCTCACCACCGCACCGTAGGGAAAAGACCGTCACGTTATAAGACAATGTCCTTCTTGCTTTCTCAGACTGCGCCATTATTACGCCATGCGACTCCTTGCGGTCGCCCTCTTGTCTAAGGCGAACTTCGCGTCGACAATAGCTGGTCACATGCCCGATATCGATGGGATGAGGTCTTTCAAAAGTCCTGTCTGGTCTTTCCCAGTTCTACCGCGCATCTTAGACGCTGGCTCTGATTTTACATCTGGGGGGGGTATCCTTGTAACAAGGGCAATGGCTGTTGCAAGTATTACATGTGTGTGCCTAGCAGCGGGACATGCGAACTTTGCGACGTATGCAACCATTGCGGAGACGACGGATGTACACAATGTCTATGCCAGCCAGACGAAAGCTTCAACTTCGGGATGAACAGTCCATGCTGCGCAGGCCATAGCTGTGTCCGATGCTCGAACGGGAGTAGCCAGTGCGTCGATGGATCAGCGGCCGATAAGTGCTACATTGATGGCGGTCATTTATATAATTCGTGGGATACTGGAGTCGATGCAAGTTTTTTGAGGTCTGCGCGCGACCAAGGCCATAAGAAAAGCGTGATCAGGCTTGATTAGTAAAGAGCGGTGCAAGGAGATACCTTTAAGCATAGCACAAGTAATGTCCTCTTCGTAAGCAAAACATTTGTTCTCACAATCGACCAAAGAATTTCATTCTATGATAGTTTCAAATATGTTATGATCAAGTATCCTGCCCTCACGATGTACATGCAAGTATCGGCAAGTGTTGGGAAGATCTGATACTGTGAGGGAAAGACCCGCGCTAGCCTGATCGAGAAGCTGATGTGGGTCCAACATTGCATGAGATGAATACATTCGCATACCACTTCTGAACGTAAGAGCAGCATATAGAACTAGTGGAAGAGCAGTGCTATAATAAGAAAGAGTGCGGAAAAGAGATCTATAGGCCTGATTCGCCGAAAAGCTTGGTCACAATCCCACACAACCAATTTCGAGCCCTACAACTTCAAAAACACAATGTCTCGACCTTTTTGGCATCAAAAAACTTGCAAAAAAAACAACATCATAGAGATGTAGTGCAGAATTCCAAGTTTATTCTACACGAATAACCTTGGGCCGAACCGTGGATCGCTACGATAAACATTAGCCTTAGGTAGCGCTTATTACAATGCCTTGACTACTCACAACACGGGGCCTCTTGCAGGTTGGTGTAAAGCCCAAAGCAAGAATCATACCACTAGACCATTCGGCCGCTGATGAAAGTGGTGGATTTCCAGAAGTATATCCAGGCTAATTTTCAACTGACTCATCTTCCGGCGGTGATCAGATGGGCAGAATGTTATGCTCTTTCATCATTTGACCCAAATCGATCATTTATTGAGTGCTGAATGCCGTATCTAGAAGTGTGGGAGAGATAATCGACCAAGGAGATGCATTGGTCAGCTGATAGTGGCCGAATTGAAGGCGAAGAAATGCCAAGCTTCCAGCGTCGACGTCTCTTGAGAGGTTAGGATCCTTGCTTGAAGGACAGCTTGTACGAGAAATCCAAACGGGCCAGATTAGGAGTTCGAAGGTAGTGATCAAGGCTGACTGATAAAGTCAAAGAGCGTATACTTGACCATGTACGCACGGGAGGCGCTTGCTTCACCTTCGGCATTGCATTCCTTGTGCATCACCACATGACGCCCATTGTAACGGCCCCAATTTTTCTCCTAGGACGGAAGCGAGATTCCTATACTCGCGACGAGCTAGTGGGAATTGAGCTCTTGACAAGACACTGATTCTTACATTCAGAAAGAGGAAAAGAAGAATCGGCCAAGATGGGCCTGCCACAACAAAGCAACGCTCCTACCTCAACGACACAACAACCGCCCTCCAAAGCCATCTCCGCCTCCCAGCTCCCACCCGAAGCCCTCGACCTCGCAACAAAACTCTTCGACTTCGCACGCACAGGTCAAACTTCAGCACTCGACCAATACATCTCCGCCGGCATCCCCGTAAACCTCACAAACCACAAAGGCGACACACTTCTCATGCTCGCAGCATACCACGGCCACCTTGAGACGTGCAAATTACTTGTAGAAAAGGGTGCAGATCTAGATATTTTGAATGATCGGGGTCAGAGTATTGTCGCTGGGGCTGTGTTTAAAGGGTATGAAGAGATTGTGAAATTGCTGGCGGAGAGGGGTGCGGATCTTGCGGCGGGGCAACCGAATGCTGTTGAGGCTGCGAGGATGTTTAATCGGAGGGAGATGTTGGGGTTGTTTGGAGTTGAGGAGTGATGGTGTGGGACAGAGAGGAGGAGGGGTTGAAGGTAGAAATGAGATATTGGGAGACGAAAGAGATGATTTGAACGACAGAGGCGACATATGATACTGCTATGGATAATGGGATATTTGTCTTCTTCGAGTTATGAGCAGGAGAAGGAGCTTTCGATAATTCGAAGAGTCAGTTCGAACCTGTCGGCAGAACACAAAGCGATATATGGATAAGGTTGGAAGTCGGAATGGAAAATGACAGTTTGTTTGTGTCGCATTGACTGGACATGACAAGAATCTCATGTTCACTGACAGTACTCCAGCTGTATACTTGTATCGATTGCAGAAGAGGTCAAACAATTATCTCGCCTTGGGTGTTCATCGGTTCAAATTTCGCTCCAAAGATTCCTCAATGCGTGGTGGTGCTGGTTTTGCAACGCCTGTCTGTCGGACCGGAAGCGAAAATCTCAATTTGCATGCAGTTTTGGGGCCTTAATCGGCAACAGTAATCCATCCTCATAATCCTCCTTGACCTGGTCGTGGAGCAATTTGGCGAGTTTATCAGTTCCCCATTCGATGCTATCACCAACCTTCTCGAGTGCGAGTCGAACCGTCGAAGTGGAGGGCTTTGGGCTGGAAGAGCTGTCGAAAGTTAGTCGCTCTGACGAATATGAGTAGGACTGCAATGCTGAGTGCAACGCTGCGTGTCAAAGACTTACCCAGAGCTTGATGGAGATCCATTCGGGGTGGGCCAAGGTGTACGATATCCAAACCCTCTGCCTCGTCTGTCAGTTGGCTTCCGGAGACCGGCTTCCTCGTCATCGGGAAGTCGAAATCGAAGGGATCGAGCAGCTTCTTGCGAATCGACCGACTTCGTAGCGTGGTGCGAGGATTTTGCGGTCGGCTTTGGCGTGTTCAGAACATGCCAACTCTTGTTAAGCGGGCTGGCCGAGCCATGGCTAGAAGCGCCATCACTCTGGTCGAGATACGACTTCTGCGAGCTGAAACCGTCGAATGATTTGCGCGTTCTCAAAGCAGGCGACGGCGCATGATCCGCAATGCTGATTCCCGGCACTGCAATTCCAAGTCCAACATATTTCACGCTCGTATCAACTGACAAATTCTTCTGCATCGCCCGCTTCCTCATCCCAGGTCGCAGCTCTCCATTGTCAAGCGCCGGCGAGTCTGCTGAAGTCGAAACCGCTTGCGGCGGCTCGAGCGTGGCGTTGAGCGTGTCCAGCTCATGTTCATCTCTGCTGGCTGCTGGCCGCAATTTTCTATTAACTGGCTTCGCCTTGCCATCGCCTCGGAAGCATCGTGGAGGAAATTGGACGAAGAAAAGAAGGATTGCTGCGACTACACCGAATGCTAGCCAGGCCGCGACTAGAGGACCGACATATGGTGGCAAGTCTGGTAGTGGGTCTGAGCGAGGGAGGCCGATTGATGGCGTCGCGGTAGCAGTTGAAATAGTAGTGGGCGTTACTATCTCGAGCGAAGGGCGCAGTCCGTTTGATGTGCCGATAGACTTCGAGACCTTGGAACTAGGCTGATATGTGAAACGCATTGATGTTGTCGGCAGCTGTTGGTGTTGCTGAGGCGCTGCCATTGCCATTGGCGGCATGCTTGCTGAACAGATGTATTTCGGTTTCTGGGTGGGTTCGGGATGCTACAGCTCTAAGGTCGCAAAGCGTCGTTGAAGTGCTGTATGGATGTCGCGCTGTGGGACTGTTGAACTGGGTCGGAGTCAAGTCGCTCGAATCAACGGTCTGTGTAATTGTTGACTGGGCTTCGAGGCATTTCAACCAAGTCCGTGCAGTCTTCACGCAGCCTGCAGAGAACAAACGGAGAATAAGTGAATAGCAATGCTTGGATAGCGTGAAGGATGCTACCTACCAAGACCATGCTAGTGAAGAAGTCAAGCTACTCGTCATCCACTCTCGCTCTCTTTCCTTTGCCACCTGCATCATCGTCCGCAGCTCTCTTCGACCCGCCTGATGCTGCAGCAATGCCTGCCTCAATACCAAAAGGATCATCACCACGGTCGCGCTCGAATTGCACCGGCCCTGATCTCGCTTCTGCAGTCTCCGTCCCTTTGAATCCACTCTTGGGCGCTCGTCCCAGCGTGTCAAATCGTTTGGTGCCTTGAATCTTTTCTAGTGTCTCACCGCCGTCTTCTCCATCGTCCTCATCGCCCACGGTGGGCCTATATATGGAGTTCAGGGCGTCGCGATCGGCAAACAAAGGTTTGTCGTAAGCCTGGTCCTCGTTGAATCCAGCAGCAAACCCCGAGCTCTGGTTGAACAACCGAGAGTCATACATGGCCTCTTTACTTTGCGTAGGTTTGGCCAAACCCAGCGCCACCTTCTCACCAATATCGCGGTTCTGCTCTCTAGCCATCATTTGCATCTTCCGCTCATGGCCCATGTTCTTTCGTGCCATCTCCCGCTTTGCTTCCTGTTTGCGCTCCGCACGTTGTTTCTCACGCTCACGGCGATCTCGATCGCCGTCTCGTCCTCCGCTGCGGCTCCTGCTTCGACTGCGTGATCGAGACGAGTATGATGAGTACGAGGAGCGACTGTTCACGGATCTGCTTCGCGATCGGCCGCGATCTGAGCCTCGTCGCCGAGTAGCTGCAGCTGCCTTGTCCTCTCGTGCCTTCATGGCTAGCTGCCGCAGATGCTCCTCCTGTGCCTCCTTCTCCTTCTCCGCTAGTCGTTGCTGCATGCGATGTCTCTGCTGCACCTCCTCTCTCGCGTGTCTGTCTGCTGTGTGTAAAGCCTCTGCAAACTGTGCGAACTTGTCGTTGATCGTTACGTCTTGCAGGCCTCTTCCGTCAGCCGCCAGTCGTTTGTCGAGCGGCACTGTGTATCCCTTGGGATTTTTCCAATTTGACACGGGCGGCGGGATCTTCCATGCTTCCTGATCTTCAGCGGTCAATTTGCGAGGCGGCGAGTGCATGACAGGAGGTGGCGGAGAGGGAGGTCCGCGGGGAATCTTCTTGATCTTGTGCTTCGGTGGTTCCATAGGGTCCTGTTGCCGTTGCACGATCTTCATGATCCGGTCCTGCTTCTTGCTGGTATCCCCCATTTGGTTGGCAGGAGTGTATCGAACGAACGTCGGCTCCGGCCTGGTTGTGCCTTTGACATTCTTTGGCTTCTGCGCTGCTAGAGTTCCATCCACTAGCCCTTGCAGCGCCTTCTGCGTTCGCTCTTTGCTCGCCTGCACCTCCTCCTCGCTCGGTCGCTCCAGGCTGATGTCTCCCACATCTGCTCGTTGTCGAAGCGGGATGAGATCCTTGAAGCTCGCGTGCACGATTCTGTTTTCTCCATGACCCCTGCGTGCTATAGCGTCATATTTGACCTTCCCCTCGCTGTCTACTTGAAGTGCGAGCGCATTCGAAGTTGAAGGCTGGTTCTTGCGGCCCATGTCGAGCGGGTACTGTGCCATGGGCACTTCTGGAAATGCACCACCATCGCCAAAGTCTTCTGCATTCCGTGGTCGCCATCCTGATCGCTGGCCGTATGGCGGCGGTCCAGATCTCTTCACAACCAATTGAGATGATTCTAGTTCGCGTGCGCCGACAACTCGCGGTCCTTTCTGCTGCGTATGTGTCGGTAACTCCTCATCTTCGCCGGTATATTTTGGCTTGGGCAATGCGCTCGATATAGATGTCCTCGAGGCTGCGAGCGACATCTTGTTGGTTTGTTGAGAATAGCAATGATGTGGTAGAATCGCAACTGAACTTGAAATCTCCCCAGTCATGAGTCGGATACTGCCGCAGGATAAACTCTAAATTTTGAACCTGACTCGCGGCCAAGACTTTGCCAGTCTTCAATCTCAATCTGTGTTCTGTGCTCTACATTCGCGCGTTATGAAATTTTCTCGATTACCCTGAGCCCGAGCTCCAGGTTGGATATGAGATCTAATGCTGGGATTCTAGGCAACGGCATGATTTGCGGGTAGGCAAAGCTATGTCAGAAGAACTACTGGATGAAGTCACGTCCATCAACTCCATCTACGGCGACAACACGTTAAGTCTCTTGGAGAGCCAGCTGTACATTCTGGTCCTACCAGCTCAACCGCACATATCTCTACGTCTGGGTTTCCCTTCAGACTATCCAGATGCGCCCCCGTCTGTTCTCGGCACACAGTCTGTCGGGAGTGATACGGCCAAAGGCGAAGGCAACCAGGTTGTCGAGGTGGTCCGAGAAGTGCTCGCAGAGGTCTACACTGCGGGAGCCCCATGCATTTTCGATCTCATCGAGGAATCCGGTCAGAAACTTCAGCAGCTCGGCCTTGACCAGAGCTCAAAGGACCAGGAACAACAAACTGCTCAAGCGAACGGTCAGGATGCCCACTCTCACGGCCAGGACTGGGCTGATTCTGACGGTCAGCAGCCTTTAGAAGAGTTAGGAGACCCTCCCCCATGGACCTTATCAGAAGTCATCACGGAGAAGAAGTCGGTCTTCGTGGCTCGTGCTGCACCTGTAATTTCAGTCGACGAAGCGAAAGCATACCTTGCGCACCTACTTGCTACTGACAAGAAAGTTGCCAAAGCTACGCATAACATCACTGCATGGCGAATTCGAGGCCAGGGCGGCGTGCAGTATCAAGATTCCGACGATGATGGTGAAACTGCAGCAGGAGGTCGACTTCTTCATCTGCTCGAGCTAATGGATTCCTGGAATGTCATGGTAGTGGTGACTCGATGGTACGGCGGCGTACATCTTGGTCCTGACCGCTTTCGTCTGATTAATCAATGCGGAAGAGACGCCGTCGTCAAGGCAGGCTTTGGACCGCAAGAGGAAGGCGGTGCAGGCAAGAAGAAAGGCAAAAAATGATCATGCCCTCTGACAGCTGCATTGCAAGCTGCGAAAGTTATCATTGTGCCGAGGAAGATGTAGTTCGGAACATTGCTCGAACTCTGAGTGGTGTGCAACGCATGTTCAGGGCGCATCGCAGAACGCTCTGCAAAAGTTTCCGTGCATGCTCCTGCATCACGCGGATCAGCAATACTACTGCAGTGTTCAAAGATTGGCGAAGAGGCTCAGCAAAGCTCAAAAGCTCAAAGCGGTATATGAACAACTTCGAGCTGCGCTTCGCATGTCGATCACTTGTTTAGAAAGACATATTTGCCGAGCTCAAGTTTGGCCGGCTCGAGGATATGCGACGAGAAGACGAAATTCAAGGCGGCTTCGATGCGCAAGTGCAGTACAGAATGTTCTGCAACGAGCACGCTACCACTACACCTGGTAATGTGCATTCGCACAATCGTCAATCTCGGGTCTTATAGCGAACCAGATTGGAACAGTGTCCAGGCTGCCTGGGCAGCATCAGACGTCCAATGCATCGCATTGCGAGCTGCTGACCTTGCCTCAAGAGGTTACGAGGAAGATAGCGAGAACGTTGTAGAATCATTCATCCAACATCCCCAAAGAGCTTCATCAAACATCATCTGCAGATTCGCAAGTCAAAGAACATGCTGCGAAGCCATGACGCTGTCGTACTCAAGCCATGGACCGTCTCAGACACTGGCGTCGCATCGTCTGAGAACTTGCCACACGAGGCTGAAACAAACGGTATCCAGACCCAGACAAGCACTCTGGGGAAAGGGTTCAGGACTTGATTCAAGATCGATAGATGGCTTGAGATGGTCAATTTTCTCCTGGTCACGCTCAGACCTGATCAACTGATCAATCGACCAGGCCTCAAGGATTCCATTGCGTCCAGAAGACGTAATGTGGTGCTGCGCACGCGCCGTATGCACTCTCGTCACAACGCAATCTCGTCGCCCTACATCTAAATACATGGACCTGATGATGATCGAAATTTTCCAGGAAATACTGTCCATGGCTCGATCGTGGGGGCGAGTGTTGAATCAAAAGCATCGTCGTCCATGAAAGCACATGTGATCTTTCCAAGGCGCATTGGCGCTGGCGTACCTACATACAGTAATCTCGATCCGCTGATCTTCACATGGAGCAAGCCAGATATTGAAGACCAACGTGACTGCATGTGACTACCAGAACAGGTCTAGATACCAGCATGGCACCACAGTGCCGAAAGACTACTGCCGCATACATCCCTGCAGCTGCACTACTACTGAGCTACCCCAAGCTGTGTCGCCATCAAAATTCAATAGCGCATTGACCGCGACCGCGATCCGCCCTTGTTAACGAAAACATTCGCATTTGAGTTGCAATGTATTTTTCGGAGAGAAGAGCTGCATAATAAGAGAGAGAGAGAGAAGAAAAAAAAAACCTCCGAGGTTTAGAATACCGGTCGTAGTCTCATCATCAGTCTCACTGCCCGGCGGCGGCGCGCGGAACATTATTATCATCTCCAACAAACAATCTATTAGTAGTCAGCATAATTGATTACTTGATTAATGGAATAATGAAACTTCCAAGTTTGAGATAGAACACTGTCCAAAACATCAACCAACCCAGCTACCTAGAATACCTAGCGAACCAATCAACAATCAATAATCAGGCCACTCTGATGAACACCGTCGTACCGATATCACACATCTCATCTCTCATCAGGAGACAGACTACCCACACAGTCACGTTCCGCAAACTGTGATGAAACATGCTGTTTGCATCGTGTACCTGTGTGATGATGATGATGATGATGATGAGAGCTGGAAACTAGGTAAGTGGGACCTGGTAAAACCAGGAACCCCAGCTTGCTTTCTTTCTGGCACCAGAAGTGCCAAGAAGTCAACAGCCGTGGTGCGGCGCGCGCGACGGTAACAATTAACTTAAAGCGTGAAGATGTGGCCGGAACGTGACTTGACTTGTTGACTTGTTGGAGAGAGAGATTTTTTTTTCGCGCCAACAATGGCTGTATGTTGTGTTCCACACCAGCTTGGTAGTAGGATAGAAATCATAGAGATATAGAGTCCTATCTTGCACGAATTCATCGGCGATCTTTGAAAGTCGGGGCGGATGAACTGAGGCTGACTAGGTAGTGTTCGTGGTCGTGCCGGTGGAGTCGATGAGGTATGTAGTCAGAGCCGAAGGATTGCCGACAATTGCTATACTTATTACAAAATCTGTATCATAGTTTCACTTTCACTTCATTCCTTCATAAATAAAAAGACATGATAGAGGTAATAATATAATAATATTACAGTCTTATCAGCTGCTAAAATGACGCTAGCAAGAAGAAAAAAAAACATGCCCTGCTAGTATGGCACATGGCAATCTGGCAGACGCTTTCTCCATCTCAATATGCAAAGAGAAAACAAGAAAAAAAAAAGTAGAGACCCGCTCTGAACACGCACGCCTGTATCGTAAAAATCTCTCTCATCTCATGGTATCGTGTCAGTTGGTATTGGTAACAAACGAAAAAAAAAACAAATCTCTCGCTCTCGCTCTTTCACTCTCGTCATCATCAAGCACGAAGTTCCAGTGTAGAATTTTTTCTAATTCACCTGGACACTCATGCTGCGTTGTCGGATATATAGTGGTCGTTGCCGTAGCGGGAATTCAGGACCGCTGTCGTATTCGTCGGGACACGGAGGGAGTTTGATTGGAGGTGCACGCTCGTTCGCGGCTCGCGCGATCATCTTGGGCCGCCGAGTTATGCTCGTGCTTCCGGAGCGTGCGCGTACACGTGGCTGTGACACCTCGCGTGTAGCGTTGACGATCTCCGCTGCCTGCATGTCTTCCAATCGTATATCCACGGACTCTCTGCGCATGAGATTTTTGATGGCCGAGAATTTTGGACCTCTGGTTGAAATCAATTTTGATTGCCTCTGTGCAGATGTTGGTGGTGTCGAAGGCGAAGAATTTGAGATGGTTGGCGACAGTGCGCTTGCTGCCTCCATGAGGTCGATGTGCCGGGAATAGATCTTCTTGTTTGTGTCGAGTGATAATGGCGTTTCCTCATCGATTGAGCTCGGTGCGGTGGAGGCCGGTGAGTTCGGACTTGAAGATGAGATGGAGTCACGGCGACTGGATCTGCTCTGAGAGTCCCGACTGCTTCGTACGCTCCGAGACAAATCTATAGAGCTGCCTCGTGCTGGGATTGGTAGGGAGTGTCGCTCTGAAGTCATAGATGAGCTCGAGAATGGCCGGGGAACACTTCTCGTTGGACTTTTCGACATCGATACAACACGAGGCCTGCCGACAGGGTGAATCTTTATTGCTTTGGCTTGAATGCATCGTTGCGATGACTGGGCAGAGCTCTCTGCCAATGATTCGGGTAATGAGTAGACACTGCTGAAGCTGGCCGTGGACCTCAGGCTAGGAGCGTCATGGTCGATAGGTGAGACAGCTTCCTCCTCTGAAGCATAGCCATGCCAGAATACCGGTTCGTTGAGGATGTCAAGAATGGAAGCAGAAGCCTTGCAATAGGTAGTTGGCTTGTGGTACAGCTCGCCCTCTATGCCGACCATGGACGATGGCAGTTTGGTTTCGGGCATGGTTGGTTGATTGAAAAGTTGTTCCAGGGGGATTGTAGAATTGATGAAGGAGTGGTCGATGCAACGAGATGTAGTGGAATCAGCCATGGGGTCGTAAGTGCCGTAGGCAATGGTTGACAATTCGGGTTGCCTCGCGTGAAGGACGGAAACGAGCCGGTATTCAATAACGCCCAGTAGCGCGCTAGGGTGTCTGGCGAGAATGACGATAAGGCTCGATAGCAGGGACGGACGGACGGTGACTGCGGAGTGAATGCAGGGCTGTGGCCGGGATGTTCCCAGGAGCCTGAGGGCCTGAGACGGCAGCCAGTCGGCAAGGTGCTTGTGATTCTCGTAGTCCGGTGGTGATAATGTTCCAGCTTGCGTTTGGGAAGGAGGCGGAGATGGATCAAACAGCAAACGACATGACGTGTGTCTCTCGGTGGGGTCGATGGGAGTTGCGATGGTGGTGGTGGGTGGTTGGTGGTGTATGATATGATTGCCTCAGCGCCAGCACGAACCGGAATGTCCGCGGTGGCAGACGTAATAATGGTGGCAATGGCGATGGCAACACCAGTTTTGGGCGTAGTGATGTGTGCTGAGCGTTGTGCGTGCAGCAGAGTCTCAGGGCCGGGCAGTTTGGTGCAGGGACTTCGGAGGGTTAAGTAAGGATGGTTGGCAACGCGCTACGTCCGGAGGTGTCACGATTGGGGGTGTGGGAGAGATTACTTGATCGAGGAGCAGTGGAGCACTCCTGCAGAGCGCGGGCAAACTCTGGGCACATGCCATGCATTATTGCCAGCAGGACTCAGAAGCTTCGCAGGCGGCCGGAGTGCATGTGAAGGCAAATAATGCTGCCGTGCAATGCACAATGCACAATGCACAATGCACAATGCACAATGCACTCCAGGACGGGAGACAATGGTGATGGTGATGGTCACCTGGGCGAAGGATGGGATGGTGGTGTAGGCGTCGGGTATTCTGGGCACCACGTTTGCGGCTGTCGCAATGGAGGCACCGCCGCCCTCCGCCCTCCGCCCTCCGCCCTCCGCCCTCCGCCCTCCGCCCTCCGCCCTCCGCCCTCCCGCTCGCCAGCAGCGCGCTGTCTGACTGTGTCTGTACTACTACACATCTCGGACGCACCAAAGCGAGTATCCGACGTGCGCGTGCGCGTGCGCGTGCGCGTGCCAGGCCTGTGCGCATTCCAAGAATCTACATTCTACACGTCCTTCTCGAAGCCGTCCATGCCCGTGCGAACAGGCCTGCTCCCGGTTTGGTGCTTTTCGCAGCAAAACCTCCGAGTCCGTTGTCATTGTTGCATGTATCGATACTCACGGGCCATCGCACGCTCGCACTTGCCGAACCATGTATACTGTACATCCTGCCTCCCTAAGGTAGTACACGCGCGCCTTGGCGTCTTGGCCCTACCTCCGCCGGCGCCCGCCAGATTTCAATTTTCGCCCTCTGCACCAGCTTGTGTGTCACTCCCGTCGCCCATCGCTCCGCTTCTCTCACCGCACTCCCACCGCACCGCACCGCACCGCACAATATCCATCTCTTCGACCGCACTTGGCGTCCGCCCCGTTATCATATAGTTCTACCTTGATACAACACTGTCGATGTACATGCACGTGCCACGCCTAGCCCTTCCGAGTTCAGGCATGCCATGCCTTGCAACGCGCCGGGTTATGGAGTTTATCTCAGTTCGTGGCCCGTGCACTGCAAACCCTGTCACCCAAGAATAGCATCGACAGCTTCCAACTTCAATCATTCTAGCATCCTATAGGCTTCGAAAGGACTGACTTTGAGCTTCAATCCCTATAGAACGCTCGAGAATCAGGGACATAAGATACATCCAACACAATCGTTATCGGCAGTCTAGTAGTAGCAACACAGGTTAACCCTAAGAAAATGTTATAGCTACCCCCTGATCACCACGGGCATCGAGGACTTACGGGAGGTACTCCGTACACAACTTGTTACTACACGCCACTAGAATCATACGCACCGCACTTCTCCTTTCTTAGAAACAGCCCGACTGCCTTCGTCTTCGTTATGCATATATTGCAGAGTAGGAACTTGCAGTCAATACTATAGTGCCTTCTACTTCCAAGAGCCCTTCCCGACACTGAAGACGATAATTCGACAAGCGTCACGAAAACTTCGCGACCTTTAATTAGATATAAGTATATCAACCTAAACAAGGGTATAGATCGCGCCGCTACGGCGGCTAGGTTTGCTACGGCGCTTGTCCACTTCTATAGTTATTAATAGGCTATATATAGACCGCTAAGAGGTCCAATTTCGAGCCAATTTAAAGCCTTGTAATAGCATAGTATAGGCCTGCTTACAATGAAGCCAAACTAGACCTTATCTAGAGACTATTTCTACCTGTTTGTTTATCGACCTGTTCTATCTCTTCCTCGCATTACGTACCGCCTTTGTTTTAACCTTACTATCGCCAATTCTACGCTCTTTATTATGTATAAGCCTTCGTACGCTAAACACCTGTCGCCTAAGGATATAGAGTTGTTACTTAGTAAGCTAGAAGTTAAGCGGCCGGTACGTGTATCTCGTAAACCGTGATAATCTCTTACTAAGCGTGTTGTTATAGTTTGAGAGCCCGTTTCTACTAAATCTATACGATCGAAGGCGCCTGTTCTTCTACCCTGCTAGTAGTAATAAGGGCATTCGAATAGAAGGCTTCGAATACGACGAATACCGCTATTTCGTATCGAACGTGTAGTACTATAAGAACCGGCTAAACTACCTATCGAATAATAGCAATAGGCGACTATATCGACGACTTAGCTTTGAGTGTCGTATCTATAAGCGCTATATAGACTATTAGCGCGCGGAAATGGCTCTAGAAGTCGTTGTAACTGCTTAGATGCGTAAGAGGCCTTAGCGGAAGCGTATAGCGCATACGAAGCCTTGTTTCGACTGTCGCGCAAAGTTAACTATTATCGAGGTCTACGAGAAGCGACTAAGAGCCGAATTTAGCGAGTTTCTCGATAACTGCGTGCTACGCAGTCTACCTAATAGTTTGACGGTCGTAAGACCGGCTTACGTAATGCTTTTGCCGCTAAATAAGTGCCATTCGTATAGTCTCGAGTTTGTCGATAGTCTAGTAGTTAATAATAGTATAAAGGCCGTATAGAAAGAGATGCTCGATTTTCGAGCTAGTAAGTGGATTCTTAGCACCTTACAGACCTTATATTAACCTGTTTCTAGGCTCAACGTTAGTCGCTTAGTTAGTAGAAGAAATGAGACGGCCTAAACAGAAGCAAGTATAGCACGACGCTAGCGCCGTAGCAATCACTCGAGACCGCGTTAGCAACGCTAATCGAGAAGTCCTTTATCGATTAAGTAATAAGCGAAGAGATAGTACGGAAATGGGGGTTGTAGCCTAACTTTAGCAGGTATACGACTACTTGAGCGCTAAATTTAGCGGTAGACGAGGCCTCGTACGAATAATTAAGTCTCGTAGACTTAATAGAAAGCTATATAGAGGCCTTGTTTAGGCTTCTAACTAGCAACTTCGAGCCCTTCGCAACTATAGGTCTTTGTTTCTATTAGACTCGACCTATTATACGAATAAGCTGAAATAGCCTCTGTCGACAGTCTACGTCCGCAATAACTACCTTAAATGGCTTCTAGCGGCTCACTTCCTTCTAGACTACGAGCAGGTATACCTAATTGAGATAGCAATCTCAACCCTTCGAGAAATGGCTTAATCCGACTGGATTGAGAAGGTTAGCGAATACGATAGATATAGGAAGCACTTCTACGTTAACGACGGCTATTCTAGTGAAGCCAAAGATCAAGACGATTTGAACTAGACTAAACAGTCTTCTTAGATACCGCTATAGTCGATTACTAACGACTTAGCGAGTAAGCAACTCGGTATAAGTTAAGGCCTTGTAGATTGTAGTATTATTTAGCGCCTCTGCTAACGCTATCTTATCAAAACCCTCGAGAAGCACTTTAAGCGCTTTCTAACTACCTTTAAGGCTATAACTAACGCATTGTTTATTGCAAGAGACTAAGAAGAATGCTAGCACTTTATTAAGACTGTATAGAGCGACCTACTAAGCTATAATACACTAAAGGCGGTCGAGAAATTAGACTATTTAAAGAAGAAGTGGATAGCTTCTAAGAGCGATCGATGGGCGACTTAGGCACGGCTCGGAGATCCCCTTTTAATAGCCGTTCGAACAACCAGTCTACTAGAGGGCTATTACGCATACTTAAAGCGCCGAAATAAGCGTTAGATGCGCAAATAGAGCTTGCGAGGTGCGTATTCGTCCCCTATTTATAATGTTGTCCGAATTTATATAAAAGAAGCCCTCTTCTGCATTTTTTAGAATAGCTAGAATTCCTTAGAACGGCTCCTTCGACCACATTCTTCTTCCCTTCTATACTATAACTACTAACAACAACTAACTGTTTCTAAGCCTTATAATGCACCTATTCTAACTCGACGATTATATCCGCGAGCGCGTACGATAAAACGGTATTGTCGACACCTACGGTTGGCTGCTAATGTAGCGGAAATACAACACTCCGGCCTTTAAACACCTACTACTTTCGGTACAGAAGAAGATAGCTAATAAGCTTATATAGTGTTGTAAGGATATAGACAATAACAAGCCTACTTAGCGGATAGCTCTACCTGCTTTATACGACGACGTATGTACTAAATGCTTCTGCTACTTCTAGTATAGCTATCACCTGCCTTACAAGCATATCTAGCGCTTCTATATTACTAATACGAGTATTCTTACGCTACGACGTTGTTAGTTATATAAGAGCCGCTTTCAAGGTCTAAATAGCAATCTTATACACCCTAAGTAGCATAATACTAGGCTTGTTATCGATGACGACAACCAGTTAGGTAAAGCGACCTACGTTAATATCAATAAGGCTCTAGGAGTGTTACGAAAGCGCCGAGTTAAGGAATACTTCTATTCTATGCAAGAAGCAGTTATATAGGCCTTCTTCCGCTTCTACGATGCGTAGGCTTCCAATCTGAACGACGCTTAGCAATACGAGGCCCTCCTATAGTAGGTAACTAACCACGCCTTAATGAACTAGAAGTTGATAAACGATTATATAAACGACTAGTTTGAACGTAGCGCTAAAGAGGCTAAATTAACACCTTGTCGTGCTTCTAAGTAGCGAGGTGTTAACGATAGGCCGTTGCGGCAACTAGTCTTCTATACGGCCGCATTGCTAACTCCGCCTCTATTAGTTGCCTTAACTAACACTAACCTTCTAGATATATATAGGCCTCGTATTATTGTCGAAGGCTATTCTTTGCTAGTCTACGGTCTACCTAATAAGAACGGCTTTATTGCTTAGGTCGAAGACAGTGAAGAAGACGCACTATACGAGGTTAAGGATAACCTATTTAATAGCCTCTTAGATACAGACCTTCTACAATTAACGCTAATTAGTCGATTGCCGCTATCTTTGCTAAAGGACGCTAGCAAAAGTGATTAACACGATAACGACGAGGCATTAAGGCATTAATGGCCGTTGCTATCCTCCTTACCAGACGATTTGCCCTTACTAAGTAAGCTATTTCCACCTTCTACAGCAGAGCCACCTTCTATAGCAGAGCCACCTTCTATAGCAGAGCTACCTTCTACAGCAGAGCTACCTTCTATAGCAGAGCTACCTTCTACAGCAGAGCCACCTTCTACAGCACTATCTATAGCTCTGCATTCTTCACCTACATAGTCGCCTAGTGAGGACACTTCAATTGATCTACTGCAGCTATTAGGTAGCTCTTATAAACCTCGTCGTCAGAAGCCTTCAATCAGTAAGCCTATAACACCTTCGAAACGCGCTCGTAGAAGGTTATACGCAGGTGTACTACCTAAACCGTACCGGATAGATCAATCCTCTCGTATACCATCTCCTACACTAATTGGACCACTAAAACGACGGATCTGAGGAGAGGTTGTCGCTTCTGAGCGGTGGAAGTGGTAGTGCTGAGGTGCAGGCGTAGACTTAGTCGTTTTCGAGCGATTACGGCTGTTCGGAACGGTGGAAATCCGAGGTAATTGGGTTGCACAAGGGGTGTTTGCAATACCCCGATTTATACACTAATTTTGGTGGTTACAGGGCACTCTGCAGGGTGGTACGGAACCCACAGGGTGTGCTTGAGCTACCTCGAATTTACTTTCTAGGTTGATCTACTCGCATCTCCTTTGATCTCGTAATCACCAAGGCAGTCTCAACCGACGACATGCCGCCGAGGATACTTTTAACATGAAGTCGGCAGATGAACTTACAACCTACTACGTACAACGTGTCTACGGGCAAGGTCGCCACGCCCAAAATTTGCAAGGAAGATAGGAAGCCTTGAAGCCGCAGAGCGGCAGATCTCGCGAACTCCACATCTTCTCTCTCAGCCTCACGATGCTGCACGACCACACGAAACAAAAACAAAACCATCATCATCATAATAAAAAAAAGGGCATGATGAACTTTTCCGCGAAGAGGTACGGGTAATAAATGCTCCGAATCTTGACCAAAACCCTCCGACGATGCACCCACCGCATCGCCGCATCATCGGACACCGAGTCGTGTGCACATCTCACAACTCCTCAATCCATCTTCTGCATAAAATTTCGTCATGCATCTATAGAGCTATAGCATACCGCTTTATTAGGAATATATAGAACCTTCCAACCCATCCCAAACCAGCCACATGCACCTATCCCAATTGCTGCGAGGAAGATGACGTAAGCGACGATCACGCACCACTTCTGACTTCTCTCATCAAGGCAAGGTAATATGAAGATGATGTTACAGAAGATGACACGCCTGCCGTACAAATCTCACATCGGCAGATGATTTTTTTTTTCGGTCATGTACATCGGCAGCACGGGCCGAAGGGATTGATGAGAATTTTTGATGAAGGCGGTCGTTTCTTGGATAGTTATCGGACAGTAAGTAGTACGGTGAATCTGGTTCCGATGAATCTGGTTCCGAGTAAGAGTTGAAATTGAAGTTATTCCGAATACTGATGTGCGCACAAACGATCTTGATACTGTTCGATCGATCGGTCTTATTGGAAACGGCGTCGGGATGGTCCGATTCATCAACGGACACTGTACTGTAACAAGAGATCAGCGCTAGGAAGTCAGTTTTCAAAAATAGATTCGCTTGAGACTGAGACATGGACGTGGGAATAGCCGGAAGGGGACATGCTCCGATCATGCCCCATGGATGTCATTGATCGTTGCTATCTTGCTCGATACCGATGGGCTGACAACGATGCTTTTGGCCGGGGTTTGACGACATCACCTAGGACTAGCAAGCCAACTTGAATCCGGTTCGGCAATGTGATCATGGTCGGCCTGTCATGGTAGCCGCCGATTCTGCCGGCCCTTGATGGAATAAATCTTCATCTCCTGTGCCAGGTCGACTTCCGTCTCCTCCTATGCGTAGACGGCGCGCGACCGAAGCTGATACTTAATCTCCATCGAGTCGTTGCCGTTGACTGGAAAACCCGGTTGCTGCTCCTAGCTGGCGACTGGTTCACCACGTCCACGACCTCCGCGCCCACGACCTCGTCCGTTCTCGCCTCCTCCTCGGCCACCCCTGCCTCCGCCTCGACCACGACCGCGGCCGGCATCCAGATCAGCTGGCGGCGGCACATTGCTGTAATTCTGTGGACGGAACTTGGGGTTGTTTTGGACAACGCCTTGTGAAGGATCGCTGTTGTCGACGATGGTGTAGCCGCCGCGGTTTGGAGCCCCGCCGCCGCGTCCGCCTCGAGGTGTGAAGCCTTGAGCGTTTCCGTTCATGCCTCCCCGACCACGAGGACGGGATGGGACAGACTGATCCTGCGTGCTGCCAAGGCCGCCACCGCGACCACGATTACCATTAGCTCGAGGTGCGCCATTGGTCTGGCCGCGAGCTGCACTGTTCCAGCCTCCTCTGATTGGTGGTGGTATAGCAGCATTGACGAGCTGCGGCTGACCTGGCATGCCGTAGCTTCCAGCGTTGCTTGAGAATGCGCCTCGCAGTGGCGTGAATGATGGCTGCTGGACACGGTCCTTGGCTGCTTGAGACATTGCCACGACCTGACGATCAGTCAAGTTCAACACAGCATTCGAGGGAACAGTGCTTCCACGGAAAGGCGAGCAGCGGCCTCCAAGCGTGGTGCCACTCATGAATGTGGAGTCGAAGACGATGTCCAGAAGCGTGTTACGGCTAGTTCTCGTCAGGCCTACGACGGTGCCCCTCATAGCGACTGGTACTCGACCAGTGTCGAGCACATACACAACGCGATGACCTAGACGGAACTTCTGGCGTTGGGTGCGTTGCTCGGCATCGACCGGCTTGAGCAAGGCGACTCTGGGAACGCCGCCAATCTTCTTGCCATAGACGGCATTGGCAACAGCGTTGTTTGCATCAGCTGCTTGCTCGATGGCCAGAACGGTATCGCCATCGAGCTGTTCGGCCTCAAGTGGCACTTTCTCGAACGCCTTAGTCTCGACACTCTTGAGCCACTGACCAATCTCCTTCATCTTGGCCTTGGCAACTTGTGGGTCGGAGTAGAAGGCAGTGTCCTCCCAACCGTCGCCAGTAGGGTTGGCCTCAATGCGGGCGATGAACTCTGGGAAGTTGATCATGTACTGCTTGAGCAGATCAATGGCTTTTGGCGAGTACTCCCAGCCCTTGTCGCTCTTTCGGCTGTAGCCAAGCACCTTCTGCTTCTTGGCTTCGAACTTAAGATTCAGGCCCAGATTAAGCTTCAGTCCTGATGACATGACGGTAAAGGCAGAAGTGAGCTTCGACAGGACGAGAGGATGCAGGTGCAGCTGCCTCGCCACAGCATATGAGGGCACATAAGGATTTCTCGCTTCTGCCTGTGCAGCAATGTGGAGTCCGAACTCTTGCTCAGGGCCCTTGAGGATTGATACCCAAGTCTGAGCCTTGTCAGCACCGCCAGAACCTTTGACGTGGCCAGTGATCTCGAGAGGTCGACCATAGGCCATGTCGCCAAGGAAGAAGGCTCGTGTGCCGACTGGAAACTCTTCTTGGATTGGGACCGCTTCCTTCTCAAGAAAGCGCTGATCTTCGCTGATGACGGTGTCAACGATAGTCTGGGTAGCATAGTCGGTCTCGAAGCCTTGAATAGGTGCGTATTGCTTGATGGTGGCGCCAAGATCAGTCTTCTCAAGTCCAACAAGAGGATCGATCTGAACCAAGCTCTCAATCGTGCCGATAATCATGCCGAGACGCTTGCTGTAATGCTTCTCGATGCGGTCGGCTTTCTTTTTCCAATCCGAGATGCCTTGCGGTGGATGTGGCACCTGAATGATGTTCTGCTCGGTGGCCGGCTGATCTGGATCAGCGAGGCGATAGGTGAACATCTCGTCAGTGACAGTAGTGACCTTGCCCTCATGCAAGAAAGGATAGCCAACATGGACAGCCTTTCCGAGTCTCTGCCTGGCGTGCGCAATAGTGCCTTTCTCTTCACCTTCGCTCAAAGTGACAACCATGCTCTCATTTCTGCTTTCTTGTTGGAAGACTGCCACACCATGGAAGCCAAGCTGACCTGTGTGAGGCAGGGTCTGCAGGCTCGGGAAGCCGTACAGAGCATCCTTTCCAAGCTTGACACCATCCATGAGACCAATATAGTATTCCAATCCGTCCATGGTCGGGAGCTCAAAAATGTTCTCAACCACACGGCAATGCTCGAGATCGGGGAAGATGCCGGGAAGACTGCTCGGGTAGGTGTAGTCGACCTCCGGCGAGTAAGTAAACTTCAAACTGACGCCGAAAGAGTTGCGCTTGCGTTCATCCTCGCTCAGCAACGGATCTTTCGTAGCCATAGCCTTCAGCAGGCGATCTTCATCGATGAAAGGAATCTTGACGACCGCCTCCCATTCCATCTTCTTTCCGTTCATGTCGAGCTCGAAGTCGCGGGGGTAAAAGTCGATGATTGGACTGCTAGGGTTTGTCATGAGGTCCCAATATACCTGAGGTACAATTTTCTTGCTTCGATCCGGCAGGACTCCCATGAGCTGCTGGAATGGGCGGAAAGGCTGACCAAGCTTAAAGTTCATGTCTGCGCCCAGGCCCTTCGTGACATCGCTGATCATGGGTGAGTAATGATATTGGTAGTACCACGGCCAGGAAGCGACACCGCGGTAGTAATAGAACAACACCCATTGTAGCCCTTGGACGTAATTCTCAGTCAGCTTCCTCATTTCCTCGGCATTGTCCGTGCCCCATGTGAATTTGGTCTTGTAGTATTTGTTCTTCCAGTTGAGGAACTTCTGGTCGTACTTCTCCTTGGCCTTCAGCTGCGCGTCACTAGCGGACACATCTTCGACCTTGGCCTTGTCGTAGTGCTTGAACACGCGAAGAAGCGCATTCTGTGCCTCCTCATCTTCCTCGTCGTCCTCGTCGTCCATTTCTGGGCGTGGCGGGAACGAGAGTTGCATGGCGCGATCGCCGTCATCGTTGATGACGCTCTCACTCTGCAGGCGCAAACTGTGGGCCAGCTCGTCCACGAATGCTCGATCGGCAGCTTTAAGGTCTGGTCCCATGTCCAAGGGCGTGTCCACGCCAGACGCAGGGCGACTGTTGACGAATCTCTTCACCTTCTGGTATAGCTCTTTCTGGTTGGTGGACATGACCGTCACACCCTTCTTCTTGGTCTTCTGCATAACATCCTCCTTATGAATGCTCTTGTCCTTCAACCAACCGGCGTCCTGGTTCTCCGCCTCAAAGTGTCGATACTCGACATCACTCAGCTCCTCCAATAGAAGCGCCAAACGCTCGAGATTGATGGTACCGCCGTCGTTGATATATCCGCCAGCCTTTGGCAGAATCTTCTTGTACACAGCAAACATGAGTGCCAGCGCACCTTCATTAATGTGAAGATATGGTAGGTTCGGCAAGAAATCATTTCCGACGAAGAATGCCATGAGGATGAAGTCGTCGATGATGCGCTCCATGTCGAAAGGAAGGTTTCCAAGGGCACCCTTCTCCTTCAGCTCCTGAAATTCCAACTCCAAATACTCACGTACTATGCAGAGATGCAAAAGGAAGAAATTCTGGTGCTCAAGATCCTGGCTCTTGGACTTGCCCTGTCGTCCGAAAGTGACTTCTTCGCGCAATAGACAGAAGTGAGGATCGTGCGAAAGCAGACCCAACATAATCAGATCCGCATCGAGACCGTACAAGCAGTGACGGACATTCGGATCGTAGTCAAGCTGGCTCTTTGCCTGACGAATGTACTCCATAATCTTGTGCTCTCCCTCTCCAGGGACTTCGTGACCGGAAAGGACGATTTCGCATCCCTGCCAGTCACCATCTTCGCTGACCTTCTTCGCAACAAAATACTTGAGCTGCTGGGTCAAGCGCGCCATAAATTCGGTACCGGGGGTGATACAATTCGAGTCAAAGGGATCTTCCTTTGGCAGCTCTCGACCTTCTGCGATCGCCTTGTCACGGGCTTTCTCGGCGTCAAGAGCGGTTCGGAATCGTCGCGAGCGCTGCTGGTTCATCTTCGCACGTGGGGCCACACCATCGATGGCCATGAAAAAGAGCTTCTGTGGCTTAATCTTGCCAAACAGGAACTCGATGTAATTGAAAATCTTGAGAAACATTTCATCTTCGGAGAGTCGCGCTTTCGTGACGGAGTCGGAGTCATTGTGGGTGCAGTTGTGTATGATACCGTTCATATCAAGGTAGAGGTTATCGAATTCGGGGATGCGGTTCTCGGCGATCAGCTGTGAAATGGGCGGATAGCGCTCAGAGAGCCAGCGGAAGAATTTGGGAACACCTAGAAACGTTCAGTATTGCTGTACTATGAGATGGGTGTCTGACTGTCGCACCCATGGTGGCGGCTGCTGTGTTTCAAGACGAGCCGCGGGTGCTGTATTCCTCGCGCAGCGAATGTGGTGTTGATTGTGAGGGTGGGTGAGAGGTGGTGGAGGGGTGACGCGACTTTCCGACTCGGGGTCCTTGAAGAAAGAAAGAGGATTGTGCGACAGTTGGAGATGTATGTCATGCGGTATTCGCGGAAGCACGGGCCATGACGTGTGTGGGGCGGTCCTCAGAGGCAGGCGCGTCGCGTTGCACTTGCACGGGATCAGTGCAAGTACAAAATGTTCTGATCATCAGCAGCAGTCGTGGTGGACCCATCTCCTCTTTCCCAACTCCTAGTCGCTCCGTCCTCGGCAATACTGTCTGTGCGGTAAAAGCGGTCTTTCTGAGACATTCATTGTCCCTCCACTCCACGAATGGAGGATCACGGTACGTTCTACTAGCAATTGTCGCGCTGTCGCTATGTCGAATTCTCCACGGAATTCGCCCAAGAATGGCCACACGCGGAAGAACTCGCGGATGCTGTCACAGCTGGCTGCCGTTCCAACGCGTGGAGGACATTCTATCTACAACGTCGACGTGGACCCGGAAGACGAGCCTGAGGCTGCTGCTGCTGCCGAGACCACTGTCGTCGCCGCTTCAACTACAGCTGCTTCCACGAAGAGCACTCAGCCAAGCCTTCCACCACCTCCTGTTGCGACGCGCCAGAAAGCACCCACCCAACGAACGCCCACTAACTTCGAGATAGAAATGGCGAACGCGAGCCCCGAGGATCGCGAGATCATGCAGAACAAGATCATCAATGAGGAGTACAAGATATGGAAGAAGAACAGCGTCTTCCTCTACGACATCATGTACAGCCGCGCCCTCGACTGGCCCACCCTCACTACACAATGGCTGCCAGACGTGAAGGAGATGCCGGGCAAATCATCGCGGAACCACCGTCTCCTAATCGGCACACACACCTCAGGCCAGCAGCAAGACTACCTTCAGATCGCACATATCAACCTGCCTCCGCCACCTTCTATGTCTATGGCGAATTATAACGAGAACACGAAAGAGCTCGGCGGCCATGGGGCGGCGGCCAAAGAGCCAATCGTCTTCTCAGTCGTTCAGAAGATCCCACATCCTGGTGAGGTGAACAAGGCGCGATATCAGCCTCAGAACCCAAATATCATTGCCACGTGGTCACCAGACCAGAATGTCTACGTGTGGGACCGCTCAAGGCACACCTCCGTACCAGGCACTGAAGTCAAGCCTCAGGCGATATTGAAAGGACACACTGCAGAGGGGTTCGCGGTCGAGTGGAATCCATTTGTCGAAGGTCAGCTCATTTCCGGTAGCGAGGACAAGACGGTGAATCTCTGGGACATGCAGCGCGACTACAATCGCGACGACTCGACTATTGCACCTGCACGGACCTTCACTCAGCACTCTGCTGTTGTCAACGACGTGCAGTACCACCCCCAACATGGCAAGAATCTCTTCGGCTCCGTTTCAGACGATCTTACAGTATGCGTTATGGACATCCGATCGAAGTCGCCAGATCGGCCCGCTATCCATTTCAAGAATGCGCACAAGGATGCTATCAACTCACTGGCTTTTCACCCTAAGCACGACAAGCTCTTCGCGACCGGATCGGCCGACAAGACCATTGGTGTGTTCGACCTCCGATTTCCAGAGCACGGCAAGATTCACAACCTCGAGGGCCACAAGGACATCATTACCAAGGTTGACTGGCATCCTATGGATTCTAGCATTATCGCATCCAGCTCCAACGACCGACGCATCATTTTCTGGGATCTTTCGAAGGGAGGCGCGGAGCAGACGCCGGAAGACGCGGAGGACGGTCCACCAGAGATGCTGTTCATGCACGGAGGTCATACTAATCGTATCTCGGACTTTTCTTGGAACAAGAACGATCCATGGGTCATGTGCTCGACTGGCGAGGACAACTTGGTTCAGGTTTGGCGAGCGAGTCGGCATCTGGTTGAGACTATGCCCGCGAGCGTCCATAGGAGGGAGGTGAGCGCGTCATAGGCTGGCGTAGAGACTGAGCAGATGGCTACTACAGAAATTGTGCGCATCAAGGGAGAGGTGAGCGCGTCATAGGCTGGCGCGAGGACTGAGCAGACGGCTACTACAGAAATTGTGCGCATCAAGAGAGAAGAATTGGAAAATTAGGGGCACATCGTCCAACAGCAATTGCATCGCAATCATCACGAATAGCGCATAGCACGGAGTATCACACGAAAGCAGCACCGCAGATGCCGTGCCCTGCTGCTGAGGACTCTGCCTGGCAGATTGGAGAAGCGTGCGCGAAGCGCTGGGCCTCGAATATCAAATATGGAGATAATGATGATTCATCTCACCATACGGAGTAACGAGTAGAGATTGGAACATGAGAGGCTGTCGCGGCCTTGAGATAAGGGTCTGGAGAGTGCTAGAAAAGCATTATCAGGAAGATGAATGGCTGCAGAGCGCCTACAGTAAAATATCAAGTTCTTGCATAATGTTCCCGCGCCAAGTCCAAGAGTGATTTTATGTAATGCCTCGCCAGTACCCTATACGGGTCATGTACTCCTAACCAATCAACAATATCCATCCATAGCTCCATCGCCATCCTCACCTTTGCGCTCATTTGCCAGACTCATGAATTCGTGATAGAGCGGCGATTTTTTCTCGATCTACTTGTGCTTGGCACTGGTTCTGTAGGCGTTGAACGACTCTTCATGTATCTACCGTCCAAGTCGATGCTGCCGCCTGTCTAGCTGAACTAGACTTTGCCTGCCATGGTCATGATTGTCGAAGACTATGAGTCATGGCGGTGTGAAGGAATCATCTCTTTGAGCTGATGTAACATCTCAGCCAAGCATAGCATCTGCTCTTCTGCATCAGAAGAGACCACGGACTCCAGGGCCCTTTGTTCGACTCGGCAAAAAACTCTTGAGCAGGAAAGACTGCGAACTATCCCTCAGTCACAAGCATGTCGCTCACCCAGATCCCAAACGAATTATTCGAGCACATCTGCACTCTCTTGTGCCTGCCTGATCTGTGCAGTCTACGACTGGTGTCTCGCTTGGCTGCAGCAAAAGCAACACAGGATCATTTCAAGTCATTCTACAAGCAGAAGCACGTGGATTTGACTCGAGAATCGCTTGAGCAATTTCTTCGCCAAACACAATCGGATTCATTAGTCTGCCTGGTCGAAGACCTGATTTTGGTTGGTGTGGTCAACAATACCATTTCACTTGAATGTTTTCTCAGGAGAGGGAGAGAAGAGCAAAAGGCCCCAACAGTGAAGCAGTTGGGAGACGAATTCATGATGGAAGAGGAATTAGAGATTCTGCGACAGCGAAAAGCTGAATCTGACAGTCTCCGGAAATCTGGTCGGGATGTAAAGCTTTTAGCACAATCACTCGAAAACCTGGCCAAAAGCCGCAAATATGGCCCGCTGCCGTCCCTGCGGCTTGAAGTCGTCGTATATCGCGATACTGCCTACAAAAGGCTCGAGCCCATCGGAGGAGGCAGCTGGAAGATGATCTGGGCAGAAGCTGCTTCTACCTTGAAAACAGCCATGTCGGCTCTAGCAAGGAGCAGATTGGCTGTCCAGCAACTCCACGTGTTTACCGACCTTCAGCGCTGCAGTGTTGCGAGCAATGAGATATTGCCGGCCATCGACGCTAACGCACGACTTGACAAGCTCTCTAAATTGGCCATAAGCGTGTCGTCTCGGATCATCGATGAGACTGATCGAGATATGAACAGGACCGGGGACCGATACGATGTCGTCGACTGGTCGACTCGCCCACAGGAACGAGATATCGAAGTGCTCAAGCAGGAGGCATCAGATGAGAACAACTTTTCTGGCCTGCCCAGATTGCTCGCTCTTTGCAGCAACCTGGAGGAGCTACATGTGCACCAATATTCCCTGACGTATCATGTCTTGCAACGCAGCGATCTCCACCTCGAGAGTTATTTGGAACTAGTGGTGGCAATGATACCATTTCCCAAGCTTACGAAGCTTCGACTCCAAGGTGGGACAGCTCGCGAGCAGGATCTGGTATCTCTCGTTCAACAGCAAGGAGCTTTGCAGGACCTCGCAATGGAGTCGATCGCGTTGCAACCGGGAGGCTCTTTTCGTGCCTTGTTCGAATACTTGGGAAATCATTTCGAATCTCTGTTCTTGGAGGATTTATTTGAAGATGGTCGCCTGGTCTACTTCATCAGTGAACAAGGCTGGGGCCACGAACTTCCGCCTGGACTCCCGACTCTTACACACACGGAAGGCACCAACACTCTGCACAGGACATCTGGAACTCGGCACAGGAGGATTGAGTACCATTTGCCCATGCATCGCTTCGTCGGATCGCCTGAGGTAAATAATTGGCGAGCTCGTCGAGGTAGGGAGTATGGACCGCCTGAAGCAGTTTAAGCTTAGGTACTATGTCTTCGCATTATGGTCTGGTACGTCTGTCAGCGTGGTCGAAGTAATTTGAAGAAGGGAGCTGTTTTGTTGTGGCGCAAAATAGCAGGTCGCTGACTCATCCACTGCTTCGACAACGATTCAGAACGGCTGCCTTTGCTTCCGGGACCAAATTTAATACCGCATGCACGGTGCAGGCTGAGTTTGGACCCACATACCGCCTGCCTGCCGCAGCGGACTCGGTGAGACGTAGAAGTCCGCTCCGTGGTATGCGTAAACATAGAAAACGTGATCTCGTCGTCGGCGCGCGTCGCTATTGCTAGGTCGACGGTATAAGGGTAGTAGTAGTAGTAGTAGTAGTAGTGCGATTTCCGCTAGCATACTAACTATTAATAGCGAGAGGTCGTACGGTCGCAATTTAATAGATTTCGCACTGTTTTAATAGATTTTAACGACCCTACTATCTCTACTAATAGACACTAATTATGTTACTAAAAATAAAGCTAAAGTTTGTTAGTAAAATAGCGGTATAGCAAAATTCGAGGTATAGTTAGCGATTATAGCTATTTTAATAGCGTTAATATATATTAGAGGGCAGCGGTATATAAGGCATACTACTATAGACTATTATCGCGCTTAGAGGCGCGTCTTACTATCTATTTAGCGCCGGTAGTATCGGCGGAGGCATATAAGGACTATAAGTTACTACCGCGGTAGTAAGCGGCGTAGTAGTAAGTAGCGCGGAATACGTAATAGTACTAACTAGAACCGCTAGCTGCGGCTTAGGACTAAATATACGCGCATTTATCGCATATAGTATTCCTAATAGTATATATAACAGTTCCGCCTCTTTCTTAGACCTCTTATACTTCTAGCTTTTATTCTTACTCTATATCGCGTCTACCGGCGGTAGATTAAGAGAGTAATAATATTGCGATATTACATTATTAGGCAGTAGCTTCTACGATAGCGCTAGCTTCGTAGAAAGCGTAACTTTATAGTTAGGTCGTTAGTCGTTAAAAGCGCGTAAAAATAAGGCAGTAAACTAGCGCCTTATATTATTACCTACTTCGTAGAAGATACGGACGGCGTCTTATATTAAATTAGCGCGCTTAACGTCGTCGTCGTTAAGGCCTTCTTCGTCGCACTTACGCTCTAATTTAAAGATTATCTCGTAATAGTCGTTTATTGTTTTACAGATCTCGAAGCAATAGCTATTATTAACGATAGCCGCTATCGCGGTCGCGGTTATATCGGCTTATAGAGTAAGGTTATCGGCCTTTATAAGAGTCTCGTAGATCTCGAGTCTACGCCCTTTAAATATACTAATCTAGTAATGCTAGTAGCGCTCTTTAATAATAGTATAGTAGAGCTAAATATAATAGAACTAAAAGTAGGAGCAAAGGACGCGCTATTGCCTAAAGAAGCGATAGTCGCAGGTTAGTAGACCGGACGCGTCGCACTTAGTAAAAGCGATAGGATCGTAGAATACCGTAGAGTTATTAGCGCGATTAATCTAAGCGCTAATCTTACGCTATATAGGCTACGGAAGGCGGGGAAGGTATATTCTAAGCTCGTCGTCGTCGCTATAAGTAAGGGAATATATATTAACGGTCTAGCGGCGCTCGATAAGGAAGGAACGAAGGTCTTTATTAGCGACTTCTTAGAAGACATATATTACAACGCTAACTAGTAAATAGTCCGCCGCTATAGGCGACTTCTCGTCTAATTTAAGGTACGCGTAGAAGCTCTCGTTTATATTAGTGTCTTTGTTTTACTTAACAATCGGTAGTATATTAAATATACGAAAGTAATTTGCCTATAACGCTATATCCTTACCTATTTCAACCTCTAAATATAGCTTATTCTTCTCGTAGTCGGCGTTTTAAGAAAGGCTCGAAATAGTAGCTTATAGTAACTCTTTTACGCCTTCGAGCGAGCGACGATAGATAACCGCGGCTTTAATATAACGGCGTGTCTCTATATAGATTTTGCTACTAAAGTAACGGTCGATAGTGCGCTAAATATAGACGTAGTAAAGGAGGTGTTTAGTAGTAGGGAACGCTAACCGAATAGCGCGTCGTTCGGCCGCTAAGTCGTTAGTTAATATATAGACTAGGAACTACCTATACTAGTGCTATATTATACGGAGGAAGGCGGTAACGATATCGCTATAGTTAGTAGGAGAAAGTATATAAGCTACGGCGCGTATTATGCTATATTTATCCTTAATACAAATAGTATAGAGGAACTAGCCTAGAGAATTCGTCTTATATATAGCATCTATAAACGCGATAACCTAATGCTGTCGGAGCAATTCTAGGCTAGTTTTAGACGTAAATACGATACTATACGCGATCTCGCCGTCGATCTGTCTTTTAGCTAATGCTATCTCGTATTTGTAACTAACTATCGCGTTAAATTAGTAATTGTCGTAATAGAAAACGAAATTAAAACAAACAAGAATCTAGGAGTTTCTAAGATTTAGGGTTCGGGCTTACTAAGATACGCTAGAAGCCGGACCGAGCTTATGCCGTAGCTCCTAAATTATCTTATTAGCTCGAAGCTAAGGCTCTATAGCGCTACCGCTTTAAGCGAAGAACTTTAAAATTTCGAGAATCTTTAAAATTTCGGCTTTTATATCGAGAATTCGCTAGTAACCGGATCTAATAGCTTCCTCGAGGGAATAGATAAGATAAGACGAATTTCGTAGCGATCTATTAGTTAATCGGAGTCCGGATACGCGGACGCGACGGTCCGCTAGGCTAAATTCTAACTATACTTCTATAGTCGAGATAATAATATAAACTTCGACTTATATTGTTTATACTAATCTAATACGTCTCTTTACTATGTTTGCTATACTAGTAACGCGCCGCCGAGTTTACTAGACCCCGCAGTGGTTCGGTTTGCGAACCACAGAACGTATATGGTTTGGTTTCTTGGCGGTACCCCTCCGGTTTGGTTCCGGTTTGGTTTTTTACCCCGCTAGTCTGAGCCGGTTTCCGAGAGAATCCGACCAAACTGCGACGACATGCGACGACCTCGGATCGGGTCCGGAGGCCCTATTACACGGTTGCATCTGTATTCCAGGCTGTTTGGACGTGTTCCGGCGTGTTCCGGCGTATTTTGGGTCGGGTTTTGGTCTGTGGCCGGCACGTGGCCGGCAAACCGGTCCGTGCACCGGTTTCTTGGCAAACCAAACCAAACCAAACTAGAATTTCGGCTTGGCAAACCAAACCAAACCAACCCGGACCACTGCGGGGTCTAGAGTTTACTAGACTTATACGCTAAAAGGAAGGTCTTTCTAGAATTAAGTACGTCCTATTTCCGTAGAAACAAGCCGCCGGCGTCCTTAAAGCGCTAGTACGCGATCGGGTCGTATATTGCCTTTAAAGTACGATATACCTACGAAGGGCGATAACTATAATAAATCTTATACCTAGCTATACTTAGAAGCGCGCTATAGCGGCGGAAGTTATTAAAGTTATTAAGTTAGTAGTCTTAGTAGTATTCTTTGCGACTAATGCGTTAAATGCGATAGGACACTACCTCTTCTTTACTAGTCTTCTTATTCTCGCTATAAATACTAACAACCTTTATTATTATAGGACAACTACGCGCCGGCTCTATTTTCTTCTTATTTGTATTTAAATGCCGGCTCTTCGACTAATCCGCTTTCTAACCCTACTTCCTACGAAAACGGTACGCAAAACGCGTCGTTTCGGTACCGTTACGCTCGAAGTACTACGCCTTATTAACAATCTAGATATTATCGATATATAGTTTTAGTATATACTAATCTTTAGCTAATAGAACGAACGAGTCTAACGCGTCGCGTAGGATATACCGCTAGCGCTAGTATTTAAGGTCGTCGACGTATAGAAGGTAGGCAAATAAGGAGCCCTCGACCGGTTTTAATATTCGGGACTTCGTATTACGCCGAAGGCGTTTATCGAAGGAGCTATTACTAGTTTCCTATAAGAAGGGTTATATTAGTAGGTAGATAGGGTAGTAGTAGGTACAAGTAGTATTCGATAAGGATCTAGGAGGAGAGGGAGGAAGGTAGGAGAGTTAGCCTAACGCTAAGCACTAAGCCCTGCCTAAGGCATTAAGACCCTAGCTTTACTCGGCCTAGTTATATGCTAATTACGTGTAGCCTCTTTAGCCCTAATATACGCTTCCCTTCTAAAGGCCGCGCCCTCGTAGCCTGCCTATATTCTAATCTCGACCTCCGTTACTGCTAACTTAGCAAATCTAATAAGCTGTTTAGCCCGCGCTAAATTAAATACTTAACTACCTAATTATATAACTATATTAAACCTTACCTCTAATATAATACAACGTGCAACTCTAACTACGCTATTCTTATATATAATAAAGTAATATATATCTACGAGAATTAAGGGCCTTCGACTAATTACAATACGAGCGCGTCTCCCTACTATAATAGGTAGACGTACGAGGTATTGTAGCCCTGCCTCCGCTCTAAGTAATATTATACCGAGTTCTTTGCGTCTACTCTTAAAAGACCTAGAATGTCCGCTCCGAGGGTTGTTCTTGTTATTACGAGGGCTATTGTTTACTATCGTAGTTTTACTAGCCCTAATTAGTTAGGTTTAGCAGCCTTTAATTGTTAATCTTATCTTATCTTTTCAGAAAAAACACAGCTCGTCTAGTTTCTATAGGTAAAGGCTATTATAAGTACAGTAGTAGAGGTTCGTCTCGCTTAAAGGGTTAGATAGATCGAGGAGTAACCTATTATTCGCAAGATCGACCCTAGCTAGCTTAGCTCTATAGTTTTTGCCTTTAGTTAGTCTATTAGTCGCTTAATCTTTTAGGCGGCTTAAAGTTTTGATTAAAGTTTTAATTAAACCTTTAATATAGCTATTCTTTTGACTTAGCCGGTAGGGTACGCTCCGGCTCGTAGTATAGGTAAGGTTGTATCTATAGGCGCAGCGATAATAGCAAGTAATGTTAATAATAGCGGCGCTAGTCGTCTTAGCGCT